TATATACAAATGGCAAATTTAATTCTCTGAGTATGGATACTTTAAGGTAAAGGTTTAGCCCTGACATTAAGTCCAGTCGTGTCTGACTCTGGGGGTTGATGCTCATCTCCATTTCTAAGCTGAAAAGCCAGCGTTGTCCGTAGACACCTCCAAAGTCATGTGGCCAGCATGAATACATGGATACTTTAGCAGCCAAACAAAACACATACACACAATTCAGATACATGAGTGCAGTATCAGCAGGTTTAGAATGCTGCCTTTGTTTGTAGAATACTTTTTAAAATTCAGTAAAAAAAAAATTCTTAAAAGATGAACATGCCAAATGGCTGGGCTAACTGAAGCCTTGAACAGATTCACTCCATGCTGGAACCTTTTATTATCCTACTTATATGACCAATTCTTTAATGAATTTGAAAAGTGGGACCAAGAAAACTATATCAGAATAACTGTTCATTACATTCCAGAGAGACAGAATTAACCAACTATTAATCAGTCAGGATTCAATTGCACAAAATAGTTTTGGCATAGTTCATATTCATTATTATTTATTTATTTACCATATTTATATCCTGCCTTTCTCACCCAAGACGGGACTCAAGGCGGTCATAAGTACAAGTCATAATTACTGCCATAACCCTGAAACCTTCAGGACCTACCTGACACTGGCAAAGCACAGACTGAATCTGCTGATGCTGTCTTTAAATATGGACTCTGAGCATTATTACTCATTAATGCACTTTAACCCTACCCTATCTGTGGATTGCCCTTTGGAAACAACAACTTTCAGCATAATCCTTACCCATCCCTTCCTAAGGTTGCAATAGACCCACCCAGTCAAGTGCTCTCTCACTTCCGTGCCTTTGGTCTAATGAAATCAAACTGCCCAGCTCCTATCAGAACCGCGAGTCTCCTCTCTCTTCTGCTACTTGTTTGGACAATCAGCAATTAGCTTAAGCAGAGCTCGCTGTAATGTCACTGAACTGCAGGGGAGGCACAAGCCGCAGCCAGCGTGTGAAACAACTGTATTCTGCAGAGACAAAGATAAACATAGCCACTCTTGGAAGGAGTCCAGCTTTAAGAAGAACCCCAACATAAGCTTACTAAAAAAAGGATCCTAATTACTCTTGGAGATAAAGGAGGGCCTTTAGAGTTTTTCTCTCCCACAGCTAAAGTAGCTGGAGAGGGAAACTGGCATGCTTATCAGTTACTGTTTCCTCACCCGTTACTCTTTGATTCCCATTTGGAGCCAGCGGGTGAGGTAAGGAAAAAAATAATGGAAGGCAGGGATTTAGAGGCACACACACACAGGGCCCTTCCACACAGCCATATTCCCCAGAACATCAAAGCAGAAAATTCCACAATATCTGCTTTGATCTGGGTTATCTGAGTCCACACTGCCATATATCCCAGTTCAAAGCAGAAAATGTAGGATTTTCTTCAGCTGTGTGGAAGGGAACATACACACACATTTATGTACAGTATATGGTGGCCACTATATTATTTTCATTTCCTCACCATCCCCTAGAATATCAAGCTAAATGGAGGAGACAAATATTATTTACTAAGATTCAAACACAGCAGAGTCAAATTGTATCCGTGCATGCACATGCGCACTAGTTGAAAATGTAAGCCAGTAAGAGGGAAAAGATATAATTGCCTGGCTACCTTTTCTTTCTTTTTACTAATTATCACAAACAATTACTTTCATCGAGAAATTCAACGGAATACAAAAGGTCTGATACAAGGACTGTGGAAGCATAACAAAAATACACAGTAAGGAAAAATGAAAGAATATGACAAATGAATTTCTGCAAGTATACGTCTGATGTACATAAATACTAGTAATGTATTTTAGTAAAGCAAACAAGTGACATTTGCTTTATGTTTATAAAGAAGGCAAGACATCAAGGCATTACTGCATTAAAGAAATTAATCAATTAATTCCTTCCTATCAAGAGGACCCAAGAAATTTAGCAAACACAGAAATGTACTTTCATCCTGCTGATGGCCAGCAGAAGTCCAGTCATCCTAAAAGCCAAAGAACAGGTTTCCTTTCTTGGAAAGGAAAATCTCACATCGCCCACACACTGTTCATTACGGCTGCTTATGTATCTATTAATGCCATGCCACCAGCTTCCTTAGAGCGTCTGATTGTTGTTTCCCCCACAGGCGGCACTGCAGGGTGCCCACAGTCCCTTCTGCACCATCACTTGATCCTGCTGTGGGTATGAGACAGCAAGAATCTCCTGTGTGCCTAGATTCGTTCCAGCACACACCCCACTCACAATCCAGACCAACCATCTGCTGAGAGGCAAGAGCCTTCCGCCTGTTTCAAATCCTATTCCCTCTCGATGGGGGAAAAGAATTGCAAATGATAAGTAAGAGAGAAACACTATCAGGTTCATACAGTGCACACACTTACAGAAATCTAAGAAAAATGAAGAACACAGACCTCATAAAAACATTTTGAGCTCAAGAGATAAATAAACTAGACTTAAAAAATTGGAAGAGAATATGGTATCCCCACAAATATACAGCAGCTTCTTTCCAGAATACTATCCAGTCTCCTTCAGTATGTGAGCCTTCCTTTTTCTATTTTATTGAAAGATGGAAATGAAGACAGCACCTTGCATTCCATCCTGCCCACACAAACCATTGGCTATTTGTGGAGGGGCTGAGAACGCAACCTGAATTTCTGCCAAGAGCAAACAGGTTAAAAACATTAGAAAGAAGCTTATAAAGAATATGAAGAACAGACAGAAGAAAGGAAAGGAGAAGATCCCCAACCTTCTGCTTGAATTGAAGGAACAACCCACAAGGCACAAGCCGTGAGATGAGGTTTGCTTTTATCCAGATACATATGGGCAGTGAGAAGTTGGGGAGCCAAAGTTGGTCTTGATACTGAACTGAAAATACATACGAATCAATCAATTGTTGCGAACTGTCATCAAGTCAACTTCGATTTATGGTGTCCCCATAAATGAGAGACCTCCATGTCACCCTGTCATCCATACCCTGACTCAAATCTTTCAGAATCACTAATAATAATAATAATAAAAACCTTTATATTCCACTCTAGCTCCCCAAAGGGACTCAGGGCAGATTCCAAACATAAAAGGCAATCATTCAATGCCCAGGGACATGTCTTCCTTGATATATCCATCTGGAATGTGGTCTTCCTCTTTTCCTACTGCCTTCTATTTCACCAAGCATTGTCTTTTCTAGGGAGTCATGTCTTTCCATATGTCCAAAGTACATCCATCTCATTTTCAGTCATCTTGACATTTAGAGAGACTTCCACATCACCCTGTCATCAATAACATAAGATTCCATCAATTGTTGATAACCATCATTACTGACTTTGATTTAGGGTGACTCCACAAATGAGAGACCTCCAAGTCACCCTGTCATCAACACCATAAGAGTCCATCAATTGGGTTGCTCTGAGTTTTCCTGGCTGTATAGCCTTTTTTTGAGAAGCTTTCTCTCATGATGTTTCATCCACACCTATGGCATCCTCAAAGGTTGTGAGCTATATTGGAAACTAGACAAGGGAGGTTTATATATCTGTGGAAAGTCCAGGGTGGGAGAAAGAACTCTTGTCTGTTGGAGGCAAGTGTGGATGTTGCAATTAATCACCTTGATAAGTCCATCAATTGTTGCTGTCATCGTTGATGCAGGGTGACCCCAGGAATGAGAGATCTCCAAGTCACACTGCCATACAAGTCCTGCAGACGCAGAGACTGTCTTTCTTGATATATCCACCTGGAGTGTGGTCTTTCTCTTGTCTGATTGTCGATGTCCTCACTGTGGAATAACATGTGGGTCAAGAATAGGGCTCTACAGTCACCTATGTACCCACTGCCAAGACACTACGCTTGGAAAGCCATCATACTTGGATAACAAGAACGGAAAACAGAATGTTGGTGGGCATGAAAAGAGATTTAGAGATGGGCTCAAAGCCAACCTTAGCATAGACACTGGGAACTGGGAAGCCCTGGCCCTTGAGCGCTCCAGCTGGAGGTCAGCTGTGACCAGCAGTGCTGTGGAATTTGAAGAGGCACAAATGGAGGGTGAAAGGGATAAATGTGCCAAGAGGAAGGCACATCAAGCCAACCCCGATCGGGACCACCTTCCACCTGGAAACCAATGCCCTCACTGAAGGAGAACATGCAGATCAAGAATAGGTCTCCACAGTCACCTACGGACCCACCACCAGGACACTAATCTTGGAAGACAATCCTACTGGGACAACGAGGGATCGCCTAAGTACTACCTTACCAAGCAAGAGATTGTCTTTGCGATGGAGCCATGATTTCTCACAGTACGTCCAAAGGATAGCAGTCCTTAAATTGTCTTGCCTTCTGGAGAGTGTTCCAGTCTTGATTTGCGGTAGGTCTTTCCAGCAGTCCAGTATACACTCCTTTTCAAGGAGTTGCTTTCCTTCTTCTCAGCTTTCTGCAATGTCCAGCTTTCCCAAACATATACGGACATGGGGAATAGGACAGCATGGGAGATCCTAACTCTAGTACTGGAGACCCGGGAAGGCTGAAAGGCTGGGGACGGAGGGAAAGAGGTCTCTGTCACGCAAAGGAAGGCGACAAGGATTCTTCCTGGCTGGAGGGACCGGGGACGGAGGGGGATCAAGAGAGGATTAGCCGGCCCCCTCCCGCGCAGGCGCACTGGCGCTGACCCCTCCAAGGGCCGACCTGGGCAAGCAGGCGGGCAGGGCGGGGGGAGGGCTTAAGGCTGAGCGCGGGCCAGGAGGGCTCCCAGACACGCGTCTACGAGCTCGTATGGATGCGTAGACGCGTGTTCGGCTCCTTTTCGTCCCCCACTCAAGCAGGCTTCCTTGCAGGGGGGGAGGCAAAAGCGGCATCTGTCCCCGCTGACCTCAAACCAAGGACAGGTCGCGCGCTCTTTCTCGGGGGTCCTTCCCTGCCCCGTCCACCCCACGCGCGCCCTTCCCAAAGTCCCGGGAGGAGGAGGAGGAGGCTCACCTGAGGAAGAATGGGACGCTGCTCCGGCGCCCTGAAGGAAAAGTGCGGAGGAAGAGAGAAGAGGAGAGCGCTGGGAGGAATCCGCGCTTCCAAAGCTCCCGAGGAAAAGGAGGAGGCGGAGGAGGAGAAGCTCTCCTCCACCTGCAGCGCCAGGAGCAGCACTGCTCCTCGTCCTGGGCAAGCGCCGAGAGGCCGCCCCACAGCCCCGTAGCCACGCCCCCCGCCCGCAGAAGCGTCTCCCCATTGGCCCGTGCCCGGCTCCCGCGTGCCCGCCCTCCCTTCCCTTTCCTAGTGGGAGACTCAAGGCGCTCAGTGGCTTCCCTCAGAAGGGCGAGGAAGGAGCCTCGTGCATTGAAGGTAATACACAGGGCTCTCTATTTATGTAATAATATTAATAATAATAATGATAAAACTTTGTTTATACCCCGCCACCATCTCCCCAAGGGACTCGGAGCGGCTTACATGAGGCCAAGCCCAACAGTACCTCAATAAACAAAAGCAATAAACAAAAACAATAAATACAATGCAGTTAATATAAATCACATATAAACAATAAGGATTTAAAAACCTATGGCCGGGCCAAATGTAATAGTTTTAAAAAAATAACGCTGGGCATGAACAAGGTAGGATATAACTGGTATATTTCAAAGAGAGATGAGGGAACACAGTCAATCCTAAATCAGTGGTAAAGTGCATTTTGAGGACGTATTGCTGAGAATTTTCCTTATTCTGGGAAGGCACACTGGAACAACCACGTTTTCAGGCTCCTAAAGACTGCCAGAGTTGGGACATGCCTGATGTCCTTGGGAAGTGAGTTCCAGAGTTGGGGGGCCACCACCAAGAAGGCCTTCTTCTTCGTCCCCACCAATCACACCTGCGAAGGAGGTGGGAGTGCGAGCAGGGCCTCTCCAGATGATCATGTGGGTTTGTACACAGCAATGCAGTCACACAGGTAGGCGGGTCCCAAACCGTTCAGGGTTTTATAGGTAAGAACCTGCACCTTGAATTGGGATCGGAAAATGAATGGCAGCCCATGGAGCTCCTTAAACAGGAGGGTTGACCACTCTCTGTAAGTCGCACCAGTTAGTAACCTGGCTGCCACCTGTGGTACCAATTTAAATTTCCGGGCCGTTTTCAAGGGCAGCCCCACGTAGAGTGCATTATAGTAATCCAATCTGGAGGTGACGAAGGCATGGACCACCCTGACCAGATCCGACTTCACAAGGTACGGTCGCAGCTAGCGCACGAGTCTTAATTGTGCAAAGGCCCTCCCAGCCACCGCTGACGCCTGAGCTTCAAGTGTAATTTACAAAGGGCACCATTCGATGCCTACAAAACAAAGAACAATTAAAACATTTAGCATAAATAACATTTGATAAAATAAAATAAAACCAATGAAAATATAAATCCACAGTGTCTCATTACCAAAATCATTACACAATGGCATTGTCCAGTCGTTCCCAAGATCAGAGTTTGTCTGCTACACTGCATTTGGGAAAGCTTGCTCAAAAAGCCAGGTTTTAACTTTTTTTCAGAATGTTGGGAGGGTGGGGGCCAATCTGATATCCCTAGGGAGGGTGTTCCATAGCCGAGGGGCCACCACTGAGAAGGCCCTGTCCCTCGTCCCCGTCAACCAAGTCTGTGAAGAAGGCGGGACGGAGAGCAGGGCCTTCCCAGAAGATCTTAGGGTCTTAGATCGTTCATAAGGAGAGATATGTTTGGACAGGTAAGCTGAGCCAGAACCATTTAGGGCTTTATAGGCTAAAGCCAGCACTTTGAATTGTGCTCGGTAGCAAACTGGCAGCCAGTGGAGTTGACGCAACAGAGGAGTTGTGTGCTCCCTGAGCGCCGCTCCTGTTAACAACCTGGACCATTTGAAGCTTCCGAACAGCCTTCAAAGGCAACCCCACGTAGAGAGCATTGCAGTCGTCCATACGGGATGTAACCAGAGTGTAGACTACCATGGCCAAGTCAGACTTCCAGGTGTTTTGGACTTCAACTCCCACCATTCATGACAGCCTCAGGCCCTTTCATCTTCACCACAGCCACTTAAGCGCTTAAGCGGCTGTGGGGGAAAATGTTTGAGATCAAAATTTATTTATTTATTTATTTCCAGTATTTCTACCCCGTCCTTCTCAACCCCTGAAGGGGGATTCAGGACAACTTAATTCAGGAAGCAGCCAGGCTTTGAAGCTGCAATGCCATTCCATGCTAATCAAGGTGATCAATTGCAACAATCATACTTGCCTCCAGCAGACAAGAGTCTTTCTCCCACCCTGGACCTTCCACAGATATATAAACCTCCTTTGCTTAGTTTCCTTTGTACCGCACAACCTCTGAGGATGTCTGCCATAGATGTGGGTGAAACATCAGGAGAAAATGCTTCTGGAACATGGCCATACACCCCAGAAAACTCACAGCAAACCACTGTACCCATGCTTATTCCTAACAGACCTATGCAGATCAAACTGTCACTGTGCCACACAGTGAGATAGCAAGACTAAAAATATGTATGTTTGCAGAGCAGTGGCATAACAGATCTGGGACTCCAAGAATGGAATCCCTTTTTGATTGGCAGCCATGATGACACCATCAGGTTTCCTCCTTTCTGGTCTTTCTGAGCTGGGCTCCTGTCCTGGGTAAAGATGGAAAAAATGGACTTTCTAGCAGCAGCCTATTTTTGTGAGCTCATCCTGATGAATTTGGATCTGGAAATGGCAATGAAGATCCCTTTGCTTTCCTACAGACCTGCTCCTGGGAGAGATGAAATGTGGAAGGAGAGGGGTGTCCGTCTGGACTAAGTGCCCATCTACATGATTTATTTATTTTGTGTCAAAAGCATTGCATAAATAAATAAGTTTAAAACTGATAAAATAATGTGATCACAAGCAGCTAACTAGTTTTAGACCAAAAATGGCCAACAATGACTGCCTTCCTTCCTTAGGCAATCCCTCATTGTCCGAGTAGGATAATCCTCCAGGGTGGGTCCATAGGTGACTATGGAGCCCTATTCTTGATCTGCATAGTCTCCTGCAGTGAGGGCATTGGTTTCCAGGTGGAAGGCAGTCCTGGTCGGGGTTGGCTTGACACGCCTTCCTCTTGGCACATTTCTCTCTTTCGCCCTCCATTCGTGCCTCTTCAAATTCTGCAGCACTGCCGGTCACAGCTGACATCCAGCTGGAGCACTCAAGAGCCAGGGCTTCCCAATTCTCAGTGTCTATGCCAGAGTTTATAAGGTTGGCTTTGAGCCCGTCTTTAAATTTCTTTTCCTGCCCTCCAACATTCTGTTTTCCGTTCTTGAGTTCAGAGTAGAGCAACTGCTTTGGGAGATGGTGGTCAGGCATCTGGACAACGTGGCCGGTCCAGCGGAGTTGATGGTGGAGGACCATCACTTCAATGCTGGTGGTCTTTGTTTCTTCCAGTATGCTGACATTTGTCCGCTTGTCTTCCCAAGAGATTTACAGGATTTTCCAGACGCAGCGCTGATAGAATTGTTTTAGGACTTGCATGTGATGTCTGTAGACAGTCCACATTTAGCAGGCATATAGCAGGGTTGGGAGGACAATAGCTTTATAAACAAGCACCTTGGTATCCCTATGGATGTCCCAGTCCTCAAACACTCTCTGCTTCATTCAGAAAAATGCTGCACTCGCAGAGCTCTGGCGGTGTTGCATTGTCTGTAGCTTTAAACAGTTCTTTACCTGTGCATGACGCAGGGCATTGTGGACAAGCATACAGGTGCTGATTTGTTTGTTCTGCTCCACAGTCACAGAAGGTGGTGGATTCTTCTAGGTAGTGCCATTTTGCCAGGTTGTCTTTTGATCTGCCAGCCAAGTCCACTTCTGAGTCTATTTCCGGACACTTGTGGAGGGGCCATCCAGTTGGAATTGCCTGAATTTGCTGCCCACAGGGATATTCTTGCTATTGATGGAGGAACATTTAGAGGAGTGGCGATTCTTATGAAACTTTTCCTTGATTTGAGTCTACTGGGAGGAGGCAGATAACCATGCAGTGGATGGCTTTCACAGTGTTCAACATTATTTGTTTTGCAGTTACCTTACCCACTTACCTCTCCGAACGCATCTCCACCTATGAACCGACGCGGACACTAAGATCTTCCGGGGAGGCCCTGCTCTCGGTCCCGCCTGCATCACAGGCACGGTTGGCGGGGACGAGAGACAGGGCCTTCTCGGTGGTGGCCCCTCGGCTATGGAATGCCCTACCCATTGACATCAGACAGGCCCCTTCGCTGCTGGCATTTCGAAAGAAGGTTAAAACCTGGCTCTTTGAGCAAGCGTTTGGCTAATCAGCGCAATCGAACATAGGATGACGGTAAATTGAACATAGGAATGGCTCAAGGATTATGAGACTGGATTTTGCTTTGTGATCGAGGCATTATGAATGATTAATTGTGTATTTTGTTATTGTGTATGATGTGTTTTAATTGTTATTGTTGTGTTAATTTACATTGTGTAAACTGCATTGAGTCGCCTAATTAGGTTGAGAAACACGGTATAGAAATAAAGCAAATAATAATAATAATAATAATAAATAACTTCCCATCACACATCAGGAGGAGCAATGCCAGCTAGCTTATAGAGTCTATCAACAGGTGTAGGTTTAAGACTTCCAGTGATAATTCTACATGTTTCATTTAGTGCTATATTCACCTGCTTTGCATGGTCGGATTTATGCCAGACAGGGCAGGAATACTTAGCAGTTGAGTAATTTTATCTACATGATAAAATTAATGCAGTTTGACACCAATTTAACCGCCATGGCTCAATGCTATGAAATCACAGTGGTTATAATTTTACAAGGTATTTATTCTTCTCTGCCAAGAAGTGCTGGTGCCTCACCAAACTACCAATCTCAGAATTCCATGGCATTGAGTCATGGCAGTTAAAGTGGTGTTACAATAGTATTCTCCGGTGTAAATGTACCCCCACCTAGCAGCAGACATTTCCCCTTTTTGATTCTTCTTGAGATGAACCTGTGCTGATTTTCTTGAGTGCTTCATAGGCCCCTTCCACGCTGTCCCAATACCCCAGGATCTGATCCCAGATTATCTGTTTATCCCAGCTTTTTGGCAGTGGGGTCTCATATAATCAAGTTTAAAGCAGATCTGGGATCAGATCCTGGGACAGAGGGCAGTGTGGAAGGGGCCTAATTCATCATTCACCACCATGCCAC